CATTAAAAAAATTTTTTTTTAAAAATGAGGTACAACTTACTTGGAAATCATCATGCCCTTATTCTTTTTAGGGCATATAGACTTCTATTTACTTATCTAATTGCTTGTTAATTACTGTATGTATTCAAGTAGACTTCTATTTACTTATCTAATCCCTTCTTTGTTAATTACCGTATCTATTTAAGTTTTCCTCTTCTTAAATAAATTCTGACAACTTTTACTTTGCTAGAATATGGTTGATTTTTTTCTAGGTTTTCAGATTTGTTGCAATAACATTCCGTGTAGCTTTCTTTTACAATTTTTCTAATTTTTCTGTGTCTTTGGTCATTTATCCTTTCTTATCTATTCCTGCTTTCTCTTTCCCTTGATAAGCCTTACTAGAAATTCATCTATTTTGTAATTATTCTCAGGGACCTGCCTTAAGAAAACGTTTCTGTATTATTCTTATTTATATCTATTTAATGAGTTTTAGCTTTTATAATTGATTACTTTCATTTTTCTATGTTCTTTTATTTTGTTTAATTACTGTTTTCTTTAATATGGAAAGCATTTACAGTTATAAATTTTATCCGGATATAGCTTTTGCTGTGTTCTCTATAAGTCTTAGCATATTATTTTCAAGAGTTTCTGGCTATAATTTTCCAAAGACTTTTATTTCATTGAACCAAGTATTATCTAAAAATGTGTTAATTAGTGGTGATTAAGATTTATTAGTCACATTTCAAGTTTTTATTTCTAATTTTATTGGTTCAATATCAAAAGAAGTGTCCTATAAATCTCTATTTGAAGTTTTTTTGTTAAGGTACTGTTTGAGGGTACATGAATTTTACATCTTTCATAGACATTAAAAAACAGTATTTTTCACTTAGTGGACATGAGATTTTTAAATATATCTATTAATCAAGTTTTTATTGCATACAATTTCTCTGTGTTTTTTTTTTTTTCATTTATAAACCACATTGCTTTCAAAGACTTTTATTACAGGTTTTAATTACCTTAGTAAAAATAGTTCCATTTTCTACTTAGAATTCTTCAGATGACCTTCAAATTTGCCTCATTTCTTTTTCTTCTTTCAAATATTCTTGATTTTTAGCCTGGACAGGGGTAGGGGGTGGAGGTGAGGGGGACCAAGGAAAAAAACTAGAGAATAACATTGTATCAGTGAAATGTGTGAATCTTATTCTGGTTTATTCACTCAGGCAGGAATTTTTTTGTTTTGTTTTGTTTTTTTCCTTAAGTTCACATAAAACAACCTCCTTCAAGCTTCCTTACTGCCCTCTTCTGATCAATGGTACAATATATAGAATATCCATGTGTAGATACATACATGTCCAGCCATATTGTATATTCTTTAACACAGAGTATTGCCTTTTGAAGGAACTATGTCATTTTCCTCAGATTATAACATTAAAAATGTGTTAAAACAATTTAGTAATGATTTTCTCATTTGGTAATCATTTTTCCTTTCTGGTAATAAAAATCCAGCCATGTTTAGTAAGATCAAATTTGAAAAACAATCATTATACTAATAATAATCACAGAACAAAACTAACAATGCCAGATATATTTATATCAAACAAAACTTAGAAACTTCTTGTCAATATTAAAAAGCACTTCTGAATTAGAAGTCAAACTCTATGCATACTGTGAATGGTCTGCTAAAACCAGTCTGCTAAGATAGCTACTCAACATTACTGATTGATGATCCCATGCTTTTCTTGCAGACTTGTCTGAAGCTCTTGTTGGTTCCAACTTTTAGTCCCCTAAAAGGTCACTATAATTTGAGTACCAGTACGTTACATTAGAATCTAAGACAGCTGCTATTTAATGTAAGGTAAAGAATTTCAACTGATCATAATGAGGTATGACAACTGTATTTGACTAATCTATGAAGAAGAATTTGTCATTGCAATGGTAATGGGACAATCCACCCAATTAATTAGTAGCAAATGAAACAGATAGCTTTGGAAGTTTTCCAAGAGCAAAAGTGCTTCTGGTGCTTTGCTTCAAAAGCAGAGCAAACCCAACTTCCTTACTTGGGTAGAGAAAAATTTGATTTTTCATTCTTAAATTTTGTATGCCAGAATCTAATCCACAATAGAGGCAAAATTGCAGGACAGAGAAACGAGGATGTTTGTGTTTAAATTATGAGTCTAGTAAACTGTGATGATCATCATGATTTTTGAGGGAGCTCTTTGGGTGTTTCCTCTACTTGTGAATAGTAATTGAAATAGTATAACCTTGCAAACTATAAAATGTTTTCATGTAGAGCTCATTTGCTTCTTCCAACAATCCCCAGGGTATTATCTCCTCCATGTTATAGTGAAGACACAGGTTACAGTGAGGAAAGTCCTGGCTTGTCAAACTGTGATCTTGCCAGAACCAGTGCATTACCACAGGGCAAATTGCAAGCAGGGCTCTCCCTCTCCAAAGCTGCCAGCACAGCACTCATGTATGCCCTCTGTCCCCTGTATTAACTGGAATGGACACAACAGGGAGCTTAGCTCTGGCAAAAAAAAAAAAAAAAAAAAAAAAAAAAAAAAAAAAAAGTAACCTTTGCCTAAACTCCTTTATTTCTTGCAATACCTAATCTTGTGTTAGGAGAAAATAGAACCAATGGATCTCAAGTTAAAAGATCTCTTGAAGTACTAAATAATCAAGAAGATGCTTCCTCCCTATTAGATTTGGGGATGCTGGTGACAAGTATGGGACTTATCTGCTTATTATAACCTTACGCTGAACTCATTCACAACTGTGGAGGGAATCTGACTCTCCTTGTTTTTATCTGAAAACACCACAAAGTCCTATTTGGTTTGCAAAATTAAGTTATCTGATGTAATGTTAAATTTCTGTGGTACCTCTGGGCTCTTGTTGAAGCACCTTTCAGTCCTAGTTCCTTAATTATGTTTTCACATACCATGGAAATATGGAAAACATAACAAAACAACTACTACACAAAATTCTTCCCTGTCTATTATATTATGTGACTTATTTCCGTCTGTTCTATACAATAGTGTGTCAGAATCCTGCATTTCACTCAGAAGGGAAGATGGATTAGTTTTGTTTTCTGGTATCTAGAAGAGGAGCTGAGATGTCAGGAGAAAAGTACCTCTCTCCATCACCAGAGGAAGCTAATCAAGGAAAAATGTCTGCTGGCAGTACATACATTAATCTCCAGCTGGATCACGGGGCTGTTATGAGGTGTAACTAATCGTATCGTTGTGACTCATCTTGGTCTGTAATAACACGCTCCACAGTGACATCAGTGGTTGTATGAGATGGATGTTGCATGTAAAGGAAAAAATACTATTCAGCTGGAATATGTGCAAGCCTGCACATGACACAGTGACAATTTGCAGTAAATGCATCTACTGTTTCTCCACAATAACATTTGCCTTATCCTGTCATCGCTGTGTTGCTGAAACTGTCTCTAGCAGTCATCATGGGGCAATTTCAGACCTGCAGGTTGTTAGAACATCTTAGTTCTCAAAAACAACCTCTGTCAAGATGCACTGTAGTTGTCTACGCAGGTCCACTTTGGCACCAGGTCTAGATGCTCAGGAAATTTCTTAAAAGAATATTAAGGTGTTAATTCAGATCCTTCACAAACTCTTGGTTTCCAGAACAGCTCCTTCCAACATTTTCTCTACAGAAGGAAAGGTGCACTGTGATCTCTTGGTACATGTAAAATTCATAATACCCATGCATTGTGATTTGTCAGTCAATTATCCACTAGCCGATAATTGGCAGATTAGAACGAGCAACCAGACTGGACTGGACAGAAGGCCTCAGGCTGACTCCAGCTTGAGCATGAGCACTGCCATTGCTGGGAAAAGAATGCTTCTGGGTTTCAAAAGAAGGGCTCCGCTTTCTAAGGTCTCTCTCTACCTTAAAATTGTACAGTTTTCTTAAAATATTCAAAAGCTTTTCTCATGCTTTTCTACTAAATTGGATATCCTTTAAGAGGCAAGAACTGAGGGTATAATTTTTTTAGTGTATTTTTAAGTTTTAGATTTTAAAATAATTTTTAAAGGTTTTTAACTTAATTGTTTTAAATTTAAAACTATCTTCGAAATTTTTACATTTTATTGTTTTAACATTTATTTATTTTTGAGAGACAGAGAGAGACAGAGTGTGAGCCAGGGAGGAGCAGAGAGAGAGGGAGACACAGAATCCAAAGCAGGCTCCAGGCTTCCAGCTGTCAGCACAGAGCCCGACACGGGGCTCAAGCTCATGAACTGGGAGATCATGACCTAAGCTGAAGTCAGACGCTTATCCAACTGAGCTACCCAGGCCCCTCTAAATTTTTACATTTTAAAAGTGAAATAACAGAGGGTGCTCTGGGTGGCTCAGTGGGTTAAGCATCTGACTTCGGCCCAGGTCATGATCCATGGTTCATGGGTTTAAGCCCCACATTGGGCTCTCTGCTGTCAGCACAGAGACTGCTTCAATCCTCTGTCCCCCGCTCTCTAAGTCCTTCCCCGGCTTGCATGCACACTCTCTCTCCCAAAAATAAATAAACTTAAAAAAAATAGAACAAAAGTAAAATGACAGAAAAGATGAATAAAGATGTATTTTAAAATAACAGGAGTTAGATGTATGCACCATGTACCTGGTGTGCAATATTTACTGACATTAGAAACAGAATTTACTTAGAATGTCCTTGTAGCAAAAATGAAAGAGGAAATAATGGAATATATATCCATTTTCTAATTTATTTCAAAGGAACTGCATACATTTTTTCTAGAGAAATAAGCATTTCCTGGACATAAATACTCCTAGAATGTGATGCTAATTGAAACATTTTCACAAGGACACTGATCTGTAGTAAAGAAATAAAATTTGGTAAGACAAAAACCATTGTGTGTAAGCAATTTGTATATTTTTCAGTCAGAACAATATAGAGAACATTTAGACGTTGGTCTGTGCTGGGCTTTCTTTTTTCCACAGTAAAGACTATTGCTAAATTCTTAATCAATGTCCATAATTTTATTTTTCAGAATGACAAATCCCCAGGGCGATCTGCAAGTCGATCAAGTAATATTTCAAAAGTAAGTAAACTGTATTTATTTGTTTATTGACTTTCATGTTTTATGAGTTTCAGTAAAAGTTTATAATGTTTAACCTAGAATTGTTATCTGGGGGAGCAGTACACAAATATGACTTGTTAATGGTTTTGACTCTTTTAAGCTTTTGCTGTGATGAGGGGCACGATTTCATGATTTCACACAACAAACATTTTGTTTGTTTGTTTGCTCACACACACATTTGGTTTCATTTCAACAAAATGAGTTATTTTTCCTTTTCAATACTATATGCAAAAGATAACTTGATACTTTTGGGGTGTCACAAAAAGTATTTTTTTTCTCTCATTTCAAGCATCACAGAGCTGTCACATACCCAACTTGAAATTGTATCAACATTCATGGTACAATTTCCATTAATTCAGTTTTTCTACAAGTTTAGGCTCAACTATGCTGGTATTTAACCAGGACAGGTTTTAGAAATGACTTACTTTAAGGCATTAGTTTGGTCATATTTGTTTTATAGAGTCAATGGATGAAAAAAACAAAATACTCCCTAAACTGTCTTAATTCTAAGCAAAACACCAGAATGTCAAAAAAAAAAATTATGGCACGGCAGAGATACTCTAGATTTTTATTTTGCCTAGAAAACAAAATTAAGGGCTATTCTCTAAAATGAGACACAATGTAATGTATAGACTCTGTGTTTGGGGGAGTGAGAAGTCATTTAGAGCCATTTATCAAATTGGAAAATTATGTCTTCCAAAAACATAATTCAGACAAAGATAGATTTACCATGAATAGAGTTTGGTCTGCAGGGCCACTCACTTGCCGGCACCCTCTATGGCCCTGAACTTAATTTTGCATATGTAATTTTATATTCTTTTCCTTCAGAGGAGCCCCCCAAATAGTTGTCAACTATAGGCACTATAGAACATAGATCCACATCCAATTTAGGGAAGTGTTTTGTTTTCAGAAACAAAGAACTTTATTACTCATTGGAAAAATAGCAGTAGCCGAGTATCAGGACTTTCTTAAGCTGGTTTCCTGAGGCCAGTTCTTAGGAGACAATGCCAAGATGGTCTGGTGACACTTGCAAACACACTGCATTGGTTATAGGAATGCAACCCTACACTTAGGAAACTCTCATTTTTAATAGATAGTAAGTATGCCTGTCCATTGCTCTGTGAGACAAAATCTCTATGTTCCAATCTTAGCCATTATGCAAACATCCTTACAAAGATAGTCGAGCACTAAAGCTATGAATAATTCTGCTTACAAGACATGCAGAGATACAAGAGACCCATAAAAATTGTATCTCAATACATGGGACTGAACATTTATAATTATATCCAAATCTGGGGACCTTCATAGATTTTTGAGGGGCGATGTGGGATAGTACTAATTCTGGAGAAAGAGGATCAGAGTGTAAGTTGCTGTGCTGTCACTTCTTATGTGACTGTGAGACATTCACTTAACCTCCCTGAGATACAGCTGCCTCCTCAGTGACACGAAGGTGATGGTATCAGTCATTTGAAGGTTTCCTTAAGTAACTGTAAATTAAAAACATACCTTTCAAATGGCTTTCATCTTAGTCACATCATGAAGGGCCTTGCCTGCAACTGCAGAACATTGTCATCTTTCTAAACTTGAATGTTCATGTTGACCTAGAAACTTGTAAACATACTGACAACTCCTTTATCACACCAGATATTGTTTCATGATCCAGGGGTACAATTATATTGCATTGCCAAGCTGCTGTTTGAGCTTGACATAATGCAGCTTATTTATAACTTTTAAACTTTTAACTTATTCTTTGAGAAATAAAAAGTCTGGAGTGTAGTTTCCCTTCTAGGAGTTCTTCCAGGCTCTGGTATAGATTAATTGCATCCCTATGTGGGAGACAATTAATGACAAAAATGCATAATATGCAGAGGGAAATGAAAAGCTCTCTTCTTCAATAGTCTAATTGTGCGATAGCAGAAATTCAACTATCAGACACCTGCAGAGATAAAAAGATTTCTGTGTGCATGTTTATTTTATTTAAGCCAAAATGACTTTCCTTTTATTCACATTCAGAATGACAGTCATAAATGCTAAATACATTGTTGAGTTCTCACTACTTTTTCATGAATTACTAAGTGATAAACTTTTCATTAGGACCATATAACTTACCAACTGTGAAGTGGCAAAATCTAGCAATATTTGAGTCCATTAACATTTTTAAATGTTTATTTATTTTATTTTTGAGAGAGAGAGAGGGAGAGAGAGCAGCGGAGGGTCAGAGAGAGCAAGACAGAGAATCCCAAGCAGGCTCAACACCTTCAGTACAGAGCCCCATGTGGGGCTCGAGCTCATGAACTGTAAGATCATGACCTGAGCAGAGATCAAAAGTTGAACGCTGAACCAACTGAGCCACGTGGGTACACTGAGTCCTTTAACTTTTAAAGTGGTGGGGAAAAAACATTAAAGTAGAACAAGGGTGCTTTTTCTCTCATTTTGTCAAAATTATTTTTATGTAGAAAAAAAGACTATAAGTGTTTGAAGGGTGTGATTACATAGTAATTAAGAGCATGGATTCCAAAGAAACTGTTTAGGAGGGTTATTTAACTTTCTTAATAACTTAACCTGTGAAAGGAGAATATATTCTAGTATCTACATCTTGGAGTAGTGCTTAGAACAGTGACTGGCACTATGGCAAGTATTAGCTATACTTCTTATGGAACTCTTAATATGTATATCACAGTGAGAGCACCAAATAAGTGCTTCATAAATCTTTTTGTAAGTAAGTGAATTTGGGGCTTAGGTTCTAATATATGCATTGTGTTCTGAGTGGAATAAGAATAAATAATAGGCTGGTAAAAATTAAGTCAGTCAGGTGCCTGGGTGTTTCAGTCTGTTAAGCATCCAACTTCAGCTCAGGTCATGATCTCACAGTTAGTGAGTTCGAGCCCTACATCAGGCTCTGTGCTCATGGCTCAGAACCTGGAACCTTCTTTGGATTCTGTGTCTCCCTCTTTCTGCCTCTTCCCCACTCACACTCTGTCTCTCTCTCAAAATAAACAGTAAAAAAAAATACGATGTTATGATATAGGTAAATAATGATCTGACATAATTTTATTGAAAAAAGTACTGCATAGCATATTTCAGTTTCCTAAAAAAAGTTATATATTTATACCTATATATGTGTATATTTAACAATAATAAATTATCTTATGTCAGTGGCAATATTACTCATAATGAGCATCTTTCTTAATTTTTATCAAGTTCGTGTCATCCCCAATCCTTTGATACAGGACAATTGCAGATACTACAGAGGAGTCTGTCCCCAGTGGGTTGGCAGGACTGTCCACCACACTACTGAGTCTGCTTTCCTGTCCATTTCTTACAATGCTTTACTGAACCAGCAGAACTTTCTAATCACCAATATTTGTGGAATGTCACCCATCAATAATCATATTCTGTACTGGAAATGAGGACTTCCATGTATTTAGTGAGCTTACAGTGAAGGAGTTGAGATCCCATATATATGTGAGATATACACATATACAAATTAATTAAGTAGAACTGATAACTCCCTGTGCAGAAAAGATAACAGAGCAGGCTGAAACTCTTATCTCCAAAAGGCCTGTTGGTAAGGTTGGCCCTTGGCTGGCATCTGGGAACTTGGATTTCAGGAATGGTGTACCACCCTAAATTATAAAAATAGTTCACAGTGCCTGAACTGTGAAAAAAAAATATATATGGCTTATCCAAAATACTTGCCTTCCTTAGGAAGTCTGGAATTTGGGTACATGCTAGGCAATAGGTACCAATGTGACCAGCCCCCAATGAAAACTTTGTGCACTGAGTTTCTAATGAATTCCCCTGGTAGATAGCTCTTCACATCTGTTGTCACAACTTATTGCTGTAGGATTTAAGCGCAGCCTGTTTGACTCCACTGGGAATAAATTCGGAAGTTTGCTCCTGATTTCCTCTGAACTTTACCCTCTATGCCTTTTCCTTTTGGTGACTGTGCTTTGTATCCTTTCACTGTAATAAACATAGCCATGATTATGACCATAATTTAGTCCTGCGAGCTGCCTAGAAAATCACTGGAACTGGGTGTGGTCATGGGAACTCCTCCTGTGCTAGCCAAAAAAAGTATAGACAGACGGCTGTGGGAGTTGAGAGAATGATCACTTCCACGTGATGAGGACAGGATAGCATCAGAGATGGTTTCTTGGAAGAATGGTATACAAACAGGGCCTCGAGGAATGGGTGTGACTTGATCAACTACCAAGAAAGTAGGCTTAAACGGATATAAGTATGAGGCATGGAAGACAAAAAAAATAAATCATAAGGAGAAAGATACATAAATGGTTTTAAGGACCTTTGAGATGGAACTCTGAATAATAGGATACGTTCTCTTTAGTCAGAACAGACAAGTGTCATCTATCTTGGAAACAGAGGGATGGATTTAGAACCCATCAAGGTCCTTGAGACTTTTTTTCAGTAAATATGTCTGAAATTGAACATTATTATTTTTGCTGTTCAGGATTATATAAACATGATCGCACAGTTGTGAATATGAAATATACAAGTGTGGGATAAATAACAAAAGCTGAATTGTTAATAAACATTAAAAATTTTGTCCTAGTTTTATCTGTGAATCTTTTTACCCCATATTATTTAATTGCAGTTGTACTTTGAGTGTTATACTTTGACTTTTCTGGCCATTCCACCTTTTAATTTTTTCTTATTATATTTCTAGTTTGTTTTAGGACATAGAAGACAGACCTGTGATTCTTTTTTTTTTTCCTATTCTAATATGATTTGTATGTGTCGAACAAGTTAAAATGGATGCAAAAGTTACAGACAAGCTATATGGGTTTAAAACAATGTATGTGAGATTGTCAGAATATCTTCAGTGTGAACACAACAACATTTACTTATCCATCACTTGTTTTTGTTTGTTTGTTTTTTGAAAAGCTGCTCTTGATATTAATGCTGGTGGCTGCTTTTTAACCCACATATGGCTCATAAAT